TTCAAAATACCTAAAATGCTTTTTAATTATAATTTTAAGTCAAATTACCAAAAATATTAATTTTATAATTTATCTATTGATTAATTTGTAATAACTATATATATATATATATATATCAGTTATGATTATTGACTTCTAAACTAGTCTTACGTTTTAATTAACAAACTATTATTTTTATAAAATGTAAATAATTAAATTATAAGGTAATAAATAATTGTGAAATAAAAATAAATTTATATTTTATTTAAATATTTGATATGTATATAGAAAACCTTTTCCTTGGTTGTTGCTCCTCCTCTCACTACTTATCCATAACACCCCATTTATATGTTTTCCTTTAAAAGAAATTTTTTAAAAAAAACCAAAATTCGTAAAAAGATACCAAAAAAGGTAAAATCTTTATCCAATCCACTCAAAATCTTTGCTTGTCACATGAATCAAGATATGTTACAATTTCCCTTTTTCTTTTACTATTTTTTAATAATTTATTAATAAATTCGCTCTTCATTTTTACAATCACTAAATTAGTAAAAGGGGGTTGTTCGGCAACTATCGGTGTTGCTTCTGGTTGCTCAAAAACACAACCAATCAAACATAAAATAATTCAACCTGAAACAACTTAATATTTAATTGAGTTGTAATATTTTTAAACCGTAGGTATTGGATTGATATTAGGATACTGTTATTTGAATTCAACCCAAAGAAAACGCCATCCTTTTATTTATTGGATTTAGGATTTTTGTTGAATTTTTATTAATATATAAATTAGACAATTACACTATCATGTACGCTCTTCATATACACATATTTCGAATCTATTCACATCTCTAGATAACTAATTCGTATATATGTTTATTAAGTGTGAACATATATATGTAAATTGAGAAAATTAACTGAATGTGAGATACGTAAGAAGTATGAATAAGTTGTATCAAATGGTTGATGATGAATTTTTTTTATGAGTAGAGAAATAACATATTCAATGTTATAAGAATATTTTAATGTACAAAATATCAACCTGACTAACCCGACCAACCCGTACGGTTTGGATTTTGGGTTGTGTTAAGATTTTTTTTTTGATTAACCTGGATATCCAACCCACTATGCAAGCCGACTAATTCCAGGGCGATCACCTGCTTTGCAGATATCCTGGAGTCACCGCATTTGAACCTCCGTGGCCACAAGAGGATTTTTATTCCTCATTAGATTTGAACATGAAACCTCCTGGTACTTTTGACCTTTGGAGTCAAGCTCAAACCAATCAGACACCACTCTTGTAGTTGTTGTGTTAAGATTTTTCAAACCACAAGTAATGGGTTGGGTTGTTCAAATGTCTTCAACTCAATCAACCGAACCCATGAGCACCCTAGCGACAACGACGACGACTGATGGGAGTGACTATGAGTTATATATCAAACGAAGGTAAATCAGTTATTTTTAGTTTCCAGCTCATCCTCATCACAACTTGTTCTACCAGGATTTATTTTTGTCTCACGTTGTAGTTCTAGTCCATTTTTCATATTGCGTCAAACATGGACCAATGAGTTTTTGTATAGTCTCGTGTCACGTAAACATGAGTCAATGATTATGTTCGATTATATGTCGTGTCCTATCTCATGTACCAGATATAACCTTCAAAAAATACCTTAAATTAATTTAATTATTTTATAAAAACTAGAAAACAAGGATTAAAATTAAAATAAACCCAACTACAAAAGCTTATATCACAAAAGGATGGTTTTTATCCATCCAAAAGCAACATTTTGCAACACCCCAAAAAACTTTTGGATACCATTTCCTCTTTCTTTTTCCCAAGTCCAAATAATTTTCATTTTTTTTAATAAATTTATCACGTTATTGTTTCATTTTGACTTTTAAAGATCGTTTAAATTCACAAGTTGAACAACATCTTATTATTTGGATCGTGTAGGATTCGTGTTTGACCCGTCAAACGTTCAACGGAAAAAAGACCAACCCACGAAAGAAGTTATTAGATAATGTTTGAATTTGAAGTCTTCAGATGTTGTTGTATAAGTTTTGATTTTTCAAACCGTCAACAAACTAAAATTCATGGATACTATTGGAAGAAAGACGAAACAAGTTTCAATTAGAAGGACGTATACCCAACGAACATGCAACAAATGAATATTTCATATTAAAGACTAATAATAATTTATGTTAAAATACAAAATAATTATTAAGCACTACTAATACAACACAATATTCTATCATATTATCCGTCATTAAACTAAAATAATTTACATCTGTACTTTTAAATCCAAAAATATATCTAAAGTATGATAGAAATTTAAATTAAATAAATTATACCAAAAAACAATAATTTTACGACTTTTAATTTGATAATAATATCGATATATTTTTTGTGGGGTTTTTTACTCGTTTCTTCGAATTAGCAAAACATGTTCAATCTCCGTTTATAATTTATGTTTGTTCAAATATAAATTTTGATCTTTTGTAGTAAGACTTGCATTAGTTTTTCATTATGACGTCACAAGTTTTTTTTACATTGCATTAGACGAGTACACAACTAATAATATTATACGTATAGAGAAATGTTCAAATGAGAATGCTAACTATTTAAGAAAACAAGAAAAATGTCGTTAATGTATAAAATCACATGTGATTTTACATCAAACGGAAACGGACGATTTTTGAGGTCATTTAATTTGCAGGACAAGTTTATATATATATATATATATATATATTATAATAATTGTTAATTAGAAAGCATTAGATTAAAATTTTGGCAAGTTATTTTAGAAAAATGAAATTTAAAGTACAAAAATATTAAACTTATCTTTCTTTAAGGGGTGTTTGGGATTGTTTATTTGAACAACTTATATTTTTTTATAAAAGTGTTTATCAACTTGTTATAAGTTAGAATGTTTTTTACTTTTTCAAAAACTTTTTATTACTGATTTGACACCAGTATAAGTTGTTTATCCAAACATTCAAAAAAACTTATTACCGATACCACTAAAATAAGTCAATAAATTATTTTTATAACGTCTTTAATTGAAATTAAAAAAAGGTACCAAGATCTCCGTTTTTATTAGATCTGAATCGTAATAATCATTACCATTATCATCATATATCTCTAAATTATTTAAACTAATTTACCAATTTGGTCTAGTTTTTTTTTTTTTTTTTCTAATTTCAAATAGTCCCTAAAGTTTGAATTTTTCTAACGTTTGGTCCCTACCATAAAATGTAGTCAACTTCCGTTCGTTAAGTGAAAAACATTTTGGTCATTTTTCTATTTTTTGTTTGTTGATCATTTAAATAAATATAATATATTTATATAGTTCTATATTATATGAAAAATATATTAATGTACCATATACATATATATATATATATATATATATACTAGTTATGTACCCGCGCAATGCGGCGGGAGTCATGAATTTTAACGATTTTGGAGTTTCACTGGTTTTATAAGATAAGATTTAATGATGATATAGGTTATACTTGATCTTTACATATTAATACAATTTGAATAAATAAAAGTTATGGTTCTAATTACAAACTATCGATGAAAAAAATTGTATGACAGTTTAAAATCCAACATATTTAAATAACTCCACAAATATGTTTGATTTACACCAAGAGCAAAAAATCAAGAAACTTGAGTTTTAAGATAAACACTTACAACCAATAAAGAAAACTACAAATTTGACAGATCATAAGTCATGAAAAGACAAAAAAAAATGGGTTTTAAAATGAAATTTCAACTGCTTACCCTCTTTCTTGTCCAAAAACTCAGATTAAGGTTGAATTAATACATGTATATATATTTCAAAAAAAAACCCATGAACATATTAATTCAGAACATATTATACAGTACAATTTGGACAACCTAACCCCAAAATATATAGTATATATATAAATAAATAACTATAAAAGTATAAATCGTAAATATTAAAAATATTTTTTCACAGTATATATAATATATAATAATATAATTAAGTCAAAAAATATTCAATATTGGACTTATTTCGAAGGTATTAACGAGACGATTATAATGGTGTAACTTGTTAAAATAAAAATGTATTTTTTAAACATGTTTTAATTGATATACGATTATGTATGTTAATTTGATAAAAGTTTAAAATGAAATATTTAAAAGTAAATGACGTAAAGTAAATTAATTAACTAATTATAGGGATATAAAGTGTAAATTTAAAATTATAATTTTWAAAAAATTGGTTGTGAGAGGGTGAGTGTATGTGAGGGGGTGAGTGTATGTGAAGAGAGAAGGGGGTGAAAAAGTGACTAAAGGGTATATTTTGGTCATTTAAAATTTTAAAACTTTAAAACTTATGCTAAATTTGTTTAATAAGATAGTATATATATATATATATATATATATATACACACACACGTATAGAGAAAAATTGAGAAGACTGCCATATAGACTTCTTTGCTCAAGGATAAAAAAATAGCGATCAAGCACCAAGGCCCCTCCTTTTTTTTAAAGTATATAATATTTATATAGCACAAATAAAATAAATAAATTGCAATAAAATACTAAACATAAGACCTCACATATGAAAAATAACAAATTAACTACGACATCAATATTGCAACATTTTACAGAAGATATCCATATATTTGTTTCTTATAGTCAAATGATGCCACCACTTATAAAAATTTCTAGGTCGGTCTCTGGTTACGGTTACTATAATTTATAGTTTTTTGAAAGAAATCGACAAAAAGAAAACCCTTCACTTAATAGACATAAGTTAACTGTCGTTAGTGACAGGGACGAAAATGTTGCAAAAATACAAACTCGAGAGACTATTTTGAAATAAAAACTTAGGGGGGGCTAAATCCAGGACAAACTTAAAATCATAAGTACCAAATCCATAATTTACTTAAATATTTATTATAATATCAAAGTTTTTAATTTTATTTGATCAAAAGATATTTAATAATAATAACAAAAAAAAGCAATTTTGAGACATAATAATTATGAAATAGTAATTATAGAGAATTGATGTTACAAATTGTATATATATGAATGAGAAAAACCACTATTTACTTTTCTATGAACTAATTTTAGCATTATATTATAATTGTACAAAAAAGGAAAATTGCTAAAATATATATTCTTTGGAAAAAAAAAAATACAAAATATTTTGAATTAAAAAAAAGATGCCCAATTAAGGAATTATTTCATCTCCAAGCCTCTGTAGTCCAAAGCACCATTTTTCAAGCCTAAGAAATCATAACCAGTGCTGTTACCACTTGTACCATTCGTACAACTGCATTCCTTGCTGTTCGGTATACCCAAACTGCATGCAAAACATATGTTTCCACCACCGGAATTTCTCCCGCCGGTCATCAATGGTTGATGATGATGATACTCGACGGACTGGAATTGTTGTTGTATGTATGAAGATGATGGAATGGTATTATTTTGATGTTGATAATTGGGTTGGCCGATTCTTAACTCTAGATTCAAATCTGGGCACTTTTCTTGATTTTCCGGCGAGGTGTTCTTGATTTTCCGGCGATCGGGTGAATCACTAGGGATTTTCACATCTTCTTCTACTTCTTCGTTCTTAACAAGATGATGGGTGGTGGTGGGAACCGCGGGTGTAGTAGTTGCAAAGGATATGGTGGTTGTGGTGGTGACCTCCGGCGAAGAATTACGATTATGGTTGGCGGCGGAGACGGTGGTAATGTTATTATTAGAGTAATGATTGTTGGCATCGGTTATTGGCCGGTGAGTCGCCGGATCAATTCCCCGGTTAAAAAGCTTCCTTCTGATATGCGTATTCCAGTAATTCTTTATCTCATTATCCGTCCTCCCCGGCAATCTTCCGGCGATCAAAGACCACCTATTTATTCCCAAAATTAAATTTAAAAAAAAACCCATAATAAATTCTTTTTTCTTCAAAAAAAAACAAAATTTGCGATATGGGTATTGTTCTCTTATGAATAAACTGTGAACCTACTTGTTGCCAAGGAGGCTATGGAGTTTGATGATGAGTTCATCTTCTTCTTCAGTGAAGTTACCACGTTTGAGATCAGGTCGGAGATAATTGATCCACCGGAGACGGCAGCTTTTGCCACAGCGTAGGAGTCCGGCGGCCTTAGGGAGGGAACGCCAGCAGCCTTCGCCGTGAGCTCTGATATATGCAATAAGACGATCATCTTCTTCTTTGGTCCATGCACCTTTGTTTGTGTGTGCTTTTTCACAACAAGGAGACCTTCCCATATCCTTTTGTTTCTTGTTTATATTTTCCCAATTTATGAGAGAGAGAGAGAGAGAGAGAGAGAGAGTAGCCGGCCGTTTTGAGTACTTGATGTGGGATTTTATAAGCTTTTGACTATATAGGGGTTTGAGAGAGATATCTATGTGTATGTGTGTGTGTGAGAGAGAGAGAGAGAGAGAGAGAGAGAGAGAGATGAGAGAGAGAGAGAGGGGTATAATTGCTTCTAGATGTGAGTTGGTAAGGCAGGTTGGAGGGAGTGGCTGGTGGGCTTGTGTTATGATGATATTTACCATATCATATTATAAAAAATACAAATAGATATTAAGTGATTGTTGTACTCATCTATCATCACTTTATAATATTCAAGACTTTTTATATCTAAATATAATGTCTTAATTATTGTAAGATAATGACTTTTTAAGCCCTATCATTTATTTGTTTACATCTAATCTTCGTCTCTTTTAAAATAAATGTTAATAATTAAAAAATATATAAATTTAAAAAAAGGAAAGTTGTATCAAAATAAAATCAATTTTCACCTAATTCCTATTTTAGGGAACCAACTTTCAAAATCGTGATTTAGGGTCTCTATCAAACTTTTTGTTTATTTGAGGGTCTGGTTGATCTGTTGAACATGTAATTTAAGGGTTTCTATCAAACTTTTGGTTTGATTTGCCAAATTTGATTTAAACTTTAATATTGATACGGATTGGTTATTTATAAAAATCTTGAATGTGATATTTAATATTTATTTTTTTATTACATCAATTAATTTTTTCTATTAAATTGATTTTTTTATTTTGCATTAGTAAATACCAATTTTTATCGTGGTAATTTTGATTTTTTTTAAAAAAAAACTTCAATTTGATATCTGAATTAAAAAAAAACGAGATTTGAAATGAAAAATAGATTTTATCGCATTAATTTTTGAAAAGAAAAACAAATTTTAGTTATTTTTCTATAATTATTTTGTAAATTGGTTCCCCAAAATAGGAATCAGGTGCAAGTTGGTTCCCCAAAATGACGATTTTGAAAGTTGGTTCCCCAAAATAGGAATCAGGTGCAAGTTGGTTCCCCAAAATGACGATTTTGAAAGTTGGTTTCCTAAAAAAGAAATCATGTGAAAGTTGGTTTCATTTTGGTGCAATTTTCTCTTTTAAAAATGTACAATTAATATACTTTTTAATTAACAACATGACATTTAACCTTTAATTACACAGAGAAAAATTTATCTATCTCATAATTAAATGTAAAATGAGAAAATAAACGGATAAGGTAAAGTAATATGTAGATGTTATATTTCAAAATAAAAAAATATGACATTTGAATTAAAAAGTAGAGAGCATTTGAGATCGATGGTTGAACAAAGAGTGTCAGTAGATCATGTTATACAAGAATCTATATATGCAACAAAATAAAGGGTGCACCCTATGCCAAGTCAATAAAGTATTTAATTGCCTTCACAACCCTTATAATCAGTCATTTAAACGATTACAGTTTTATATCATATGGTTTTTATAGATATTACTGTCGACTGAAAAAAGTAAATTAAAATGTTATTCCACTTACAGACACCATACATAGTGAAATCAGTATATGTGTGTACGTAACACAACTACAAGCAACCGTGAGTTGCGTTCATCAATTCATGCATGATATAGTTAACAAGACCATTTATTAGCATGTTAAACATGAGTTTTTTGAATAAGCACTTACCGGGTAAGCATTTAGGTAAACAACTCATAAGTTACAATCACGATCTTGCAACTTGATTCTTCAATTGCCTACTAAGTATTGGCAATTCTGCCAAATGGTATTAGAATTTTCACTCAATACATCGGAATATCGTTGTAATTTTGAAAAAAAAAGATTTGATGTACTAAAATCTTACGCATCAAAATAAATTATAATGTTGACTCCTATTAAATAAGCGTTTACCATATAAGCAGATGGGTAAACGACATCTTATATTAAATAAGAATTTGTATGTATTTATGTAATCGATGTAACAAAAAGGAAACAACTGATTTTTATTCCTGTGACTTTGCCCATGTTATCTGCATTGCTAACAGAGGTTTCAAACCTTTACTATTAGTCATGCAAGGCAGGTCCACAGGTTTATCAGTTGACCACGTTAACCCCTTCTATTTCTTCATCGTTACAATTTTCATCCCTCATGGAATATTTCTTTCCCATACCTATACTTTCATCTTATTGCACCTTTTACCCTTCTACTATAATTGTAACTCTAGAATCTAAAAGACTGAAATAACTCCTTTGAACTTAACTCTTGTTATTTATTGTTTTACCTTATCCATAATGCGATGCATTTATTGTTCCAAAATCTTAACGGTGTTACTGTTGTTAGTTGTTACTATAAAAGGAAATTTAAATATTTGAAAATTATCTGAATGTTAATATCCCATCAAACATTCTGAACTTAGTCCAGTTTGCTTGAAATCAAGAACCCAAGTACTTGTAATAAACTAAATTTATTTATAAATATTGAAAAAAAATGAAACCGATCATAGATTAACCAGTTGATATATTATAGTTCAGTTTTATCTAATCAGATTTATGATTTGTTAAATCTGACACGTAGCAAAAACAGCTTGAATCATAATTCTAACCGAAATCAAACCAAACAAAATTTGTATCTAATGATTTTATAACCAAAAGAAGAAATATTTGGGATGATATGAGATTATATATATATATATATATATATATATATATATATATATAAATAAAGGTGTAAAGTGAGGTGTAGGTAATAAAGGAAGGAGGCACAAAGGGTGATCCTTTTGAACAACTTTTAGGTCAATAATAATTTAGGGTCATTAGCTAACCTTCCCATATTCTTCAACTACATTTGCATTAATTATGTTACCTACATTTCTTTATTTGTGTTGTTGGAACTAATTTGTGTTTTTGATGAACCTTTCTTTTGTTTTTTTTTTTCCTATTTATAATCGATCAGTTTTTATTTATATTTATACTTAAAAGTTTTAGGATTTTCTTAAAAAGTATCAGCTTTGTATTCAAGTTATCTGTTCAATAACTCGAAATCACTGTTCCAATCTTTTTGGAGTCTCTTGTACCTGATATTCATCAAAACCCTAGCTCGATTCCAGGGCTAAATTCTCCCTCAACTCTCAATTTCTCTACGCGTTTCTAAAGGGCTATAATGTTGTATCCAATATCACGCTGAATGAAGTCAATAAAATTGTAGTTGAGACTATTCATCAAACAAGAAAGTGGATAAACAGAGAATAAAAAAGAGGAAGATTATTAAACAAAGTAGTGTTTGGTACTTCAATAATAAAATTAGTCGATCGGGAAATTAAGATGAATGAAACAAGTCTACTAAGATAGGTCAATTGTCCAATTAGAGACGTAAGGAGAAAGTACTGCAAATTCGCATTCATAATCGAGAAGTGGCAAGTCACCAAATTTGATAGAACAGAGAAGGAATCGAGGCACTGTGCTAAAATGCTAAACCATTATACCAGCCCAAATGGACTAAAATAAGAGGGAAAAAGTTTAACGGACTGAGCTAAGAGATAAACTAAAAGCCAAAATATAAATAATCGGCCCCCCAAAAAAATCGATAGACCCAAATTTTTTGGAGACCCTGTTTGAAATCTCAAATTTGTACACTCTGGCACGACCCTGTTTACATCCAAAGTAAGAGAGTTACAATTCCTTATGGGAACTGGACTCTTCGTAGACACAAGACTTTAAGCTAGCCACCTAATAAGCCGTTATGTACATGATTTGTCGATCACATGATGATTTTACAGTAAAACATTGTAGATCTAACTCAAAGGTTGGTTGTTACAAACCTTTTTTTGCATAAACATAGGCAGTTAGGTTCTTTCAAGTATGATTATATATTAACAATAATTAAATGATTAATTTTTTTATTAATGATACTTAATCAGGCCTTTTTCATAGAGGAACCATGTCGTAAAAATACTACATTTTTGGAAAAAGTGACAATTAATTTAAAAATAGAATAGTTGATGAGTATTAGAAAATAATTGTAGTTTCAATTATATTAATTACAATATTATTAATTTGTATTTAATGATTTATGGATATTAATTATTTTTAAATAAAATAAAAAGAAATAAAAATAAGTAAATGATAAAGGTGAGTGGTAGTAGGATGGAGTGATGCTTCTAGAAGGAAGGGAAAGGAAGAAGTTGGTTAAAAGATGTATAGAGATAGAAAAAGTGGAGTGTGGTTGTGGGCTTTGGTTTACCTTCCACTTTTTCTCCCCCAACCTTGTGGTGCAAGTTGATTTAGGCACAAACACTACTAGGATTTATATATATATATATATATATATAGAGAGAGAGAGAGGGTTGATTATTATACAACCTATGACATTTGCACAATTAATATAACTCAATCTCAACCGTCAGTTTCATTTAATTAATATGTGATTTTATAGAAGTTTTGGTTGTTTCTTAATATAAAGTATTTATCATAATTAATGAACCATATTCATTTTCCATAAATATTCAAATCATAATAAATTAATTCTCATCATTTCCATAAATATTTTAATTTATTGAGTTATAATGGTTGTACAAATACAACAAGTTGTATTTGAAACAATCTCTCTCTATATATAATAATAATAATAATAATAATAATAATTGAAGAGGTTGGTTCACCATTTCCATTCTCTCTCTCCCCCTACCACCCCTTTCCACATCACATGTTGCCCACCACCTTCACATCACACTCTCTCTCATAAATACATATTATTATAAAACAAATATATATTAATCAATATTTTAAATTCTAATATTAAAGAAAAAAAACCCGTATAAAATTACTATAAACACTAACAAATATATGCTAATCGTAACCTAAATGATGTTCCCTAATAGAATAGGGGGATTAGGTATGCACATCAATAGATAGATTTGAAGCTGAATAAACGTAAACACTAGGGTTTTAGTTCAAGCTAACATGTCTGGTATGTTTAATACACTTGTTAATACATAAAGTAAAAATTAGAACGTGAAACACTAG